ATAGGCCAACTTTGTCTGCTGTGAAGACCCATTAAAGACTTCCCATTAGAGGGTTTTGCATCAACTTGCTTTTCTTCAACAAAACCTACCAAGGAAGACTTGAGAATCACCTTCCATCTTGCTACTGACTGGGGGAGCAAAAAAGTAGCCACTGCCAAATTCTGCCTACCTATCTCCCCTGTGGAACAAAAGCTGTAATCTGTATAATGAAGAACAACAAAATTGTCTCAGTTGGGAAACCCTTTGAAGCTAAGTATGACAAAAGGTTAGGAGAGAGGATTGGGGAGAGAGGGAGAGAAATGATGGGGAAAGGAAAGAAGGAAGGAACTTTCCCCTGAGAGAGAAGCTGGGATATGGTTCAGAGCATCCAGAATTTTAAAGTAGTAAAACTATTCTGTATGATACCATATGGTGGACACATGTCATTATCATCTGTCCAAACTCAGACGGTACAACACCAAGAGTGACCACTAATATAGACTGCAGATGGGGTGATAATGATGTGAGAATGTAGGTTCATTGATTATAACAAATGGACTACTATGTTGGGGATGTTGATAATGGAGCACATGTAGAGTCAGGATGGATATAAACTCTTTGTACTTTATGCTCAATTTTTCTGTGAACCTCGAGCTCTAAAAAAAATAAAGGATATTAAACAAGAAAATAAACAAAAAACGCTTTCTACCTAAGAGAGGAACTGGAATATCTGATGTCACTACAACTGAAAAAGGGTTGGGAACACTTGTGAAGGCCACACCCCAAGACTCGGGTTCACAATGCCTGTGTAAGATGCTCTCCTACCCAGCCAACCACCACCCTGCTCACAAGTGTCAGGTAGGAATAATAGTGATTATTCCTAGAACTGCATGAGGAAGACTGTCTCTGATTCACAGTGCAAAGAGGCGACCCAACGCCAAGAGGGAGCAGATACAATGAAAAAAATGCCTGATAGACCAGCCCACACCTTAAAAACAAAGTGAAAAGGGCAGTGTTTCTTAACCTCATTACTACAGACATTATGTAAAGGATGATTCTCTGTTGTGGAGGATAGGGTGCTGTCCTATGAATTGTACGGTGTTTAGTGTATCTCTAATCTCTGCTCACCAGATGCTAGTAGCACACCTCCAGTTGTCACAACCAAAGATGTCTTAGGCCAGCCTGGAGGAACCTGGGATGTATTATCCTAAGTGAAATAAGCCAGTCATAGAAAGATAAATATCACATGATCTCACTCATATGTAGAATCTAATGAGTAAAATAAACTGTTGTACAAAATGGATCCAAAGACATAGAAGCATGGAAAGACTGTCAGATCTCAAATGGAAGGCAGGAGTATATGGATTGGTGGGGAGAGATTAACCAAAGAATTTGTATGTATACATGCATAACCCATGGATACAGACAGTAAGGTGGTGGAGGCCTGGGGCAAGGAGCAGAGGAAGGCTAATAGGGACCAAGGGGAGAAAAAAGAGGACATATATAATACTTTCAACAATAAAGATGTTTTTAAAATGTCTTAGAAAACAGGAAGGTCCACGATGACAGCTAAACACACACCAAATATACATCCACATATAGAACAATTCCTCCTTAGACACATGGAGGGATGACTGAACAACTCTTGCACAATAAACAAAAGAGACTGCATAGAGAAGGTTGAGTAGCCATGGAGCTCTCTGGGATTTGTGGGCACTCTCAGACTGAGGCATATGGAGGTACAGTGAGCACCACTGTTTACATTCCCCCTCTACCTAGATACATAATGCAAGCCAGCCATCTGCAGCGCTCTGGCAAATGTGCAGTGCATTCCCAGCTGCCTGCTCAGAGCAAGCTCTGACCTGAACAGCAAGAAACCTTTGTGCACATGCACACTAGGCTGAATGCCCAGAGCCCACTTCGGCCCCAGTCAGCCGGATTAATAGGGCATCACCACACACTCATATGCACAAGGCTGCCCTCTCCCAAGTCTGCTCGTACCCCAGGTGCCACACATACACCCAGCTCCAACCAGCCTGCCAAAAGTACTGAGCACCTCTGTGTCACTTCTACACAAAGCCACTGTTTCAAGATTGGGTGAGACAGCTACTTATCAATTCGTAGAAACAAACACAGAGAATAAAACAAAATGAGAAGACTGAGGCATATTTTTCAAATGAAGGAATACACACACACACACACACACACACACACGCACACAAAAGGGAAAAGCCTTCATGAAATGAAAATAACTTTTTTTAATAAAGAACTACAGGTCCAGTGCATGAATTTCGTGCATGGGGAGAGAAGGGGGTAAGTCCCTCTGCCTGGCCTGCACCCTCTCCAATCTGGGACCTCTTGGGGGATGTCTGACTGCCTCTCGCAACCCAGTACTGCTGGCTCCTAACAACTCCCCTGCTTACCTGCCTGATCACCCCTAACCCCTCTGCCTGCCTGCCTGATTGCTCCTAACCACTTCTGCCTGCCTGATGGCTAACCACCTCTGCCTGCCTGCCTGATCGCCCTAACTGCTCCCCTGCTGACCTGATCGCCCCTAACGGCCTTTGCCTTGCCCCAACACCTGGGACCCAGGATTCCCTCCTCCAGCCAGCCACAGGCACCCAGAACCCAGGTTTCCCTCCCTCTGGCTGGCTGCAGGCACCCAGGAACTGAGCCAGATTTTCCCAGGCTGGCCACAGCTGCAGGGGACCATGGGTGGGTGGCTTCGTCCAGACTACAGCCGCAGGTGTTGGCACCTGGGACCCTGGGGCAGGCGGCTTGTCCCTCTTCCCGTCCACAGGTGCAGATGCAGCTGCTGGAGCCTGGGACCCGGGGCAGATGGTTTGTCTCTCTCCCAGGCCACAGCCCGACTGGTTGCCATTCCTCTCTCGCAAGCTCATTTGTGCCAGGCTGGTCCTCATTCTTCTTTTCCCAGTGTTGAGTGTCTGAGCCATTATGGTGTGTCGACCATTCACATATTAGCTCTTTATCATATAGAATTCAAACTAACAGTCTTAAGTATACTCACCCAATTTGACAATAGAATAGAGGACTTCAGTGAAAACTTTAGCAAAGAGTTAGAACACATGTGTCAAACACAAGGCCCGCGGGCCAAATCCGTCCCGCCAGGCCTTGCAATGTGGCCCGCACCGTGCTGTCATCACTGCACTCCACTGCGTTTCCATCACTATGACTGTTCAGTAAACCATTCGGCCCGCGATTCAGGCTGGATTTTAGATTTTGGCCCCTTCTCTGATTGAGTTCGACACCCCTAAGTTAGAAAATGTAATAAAGAACCAATTAGCACTCTACCTAATACATAGAAACAAATGGAAGCAGACAAAATTTGCAGACAAAGAAACATGTCACAAATGAAAGAACAGAAGAAATCTCCAGAAAAGGAACCAAATTAAATGATAGCAAGCAAACTACTAGATATAGAGTTCAACAATGCTTATAAAGATGCTCAAGGAACTTAATGAGGGCTTCAAAGAACTTAGAATGCCAATGACCTTAGTGAGAATTTAGAAAAAATTAATAAGAACATCAAAGACATGAAAAAGGACCATCTCAAAAATGAGGGACACACTAATCAAAATGAAGAATAGTTTGCCAAAACCGGTTTGGCTCAGTGAATAGAGAGTCAGTCTGCGGACTTTATCCTGGGGATGAATCGGCGCCATCTGTGGGCTTTGAGCAGATGTTGGCAGCCGGGCCACCCCCACCTCCCGTACCCTGGAGTGCCCAGAGTCTGTGCTCCGCCTCAGCTTGGTGCTGTGCCCTCCCAGCCCTGGCCCGGCCCACGGCAGGCCTGCCTGCTCCATGCCCCGCGAAGGCCCTCCTCCCAGCGGACAAAGGTTCACCCACCACAGGTGCCCGAGCACCAGCAGGCCCTCCCGCTGGGCACTGTGCGGGAGGTGGAAACGGGGCTGCGCCGGGCAGCGGGCACCTCTCCGGGGAGGACAGGCAATGGGCGAGTTCCGGGAGGCCTGCCTGCACCAGGCCGACCTGTTGGTGCGCACCCTCCACGTGAGGGCGGCCAGCCGGAAGTGGACGTGCCAGCCGGAAGCGGACGGGCGGCTGAGAGAGCTGAGCGGCCTGGGCACGGTGCCCCCCGCATGACTGCCGCTGGGACTAATCACGTGCAGCCCAAGCCCGCGGGCATGTTTCTGCCAGGCACAAGGCTCTGGCCTGGCACCAATCAACGCCGCAGATGGGCGGAGCCTATGTTCCTCTCAGCCAATCATGCCACTCGCTCCTTGCATCAAGTTCCGGCTGCGTGGCCTCCTCCTCAGCGGCCCTCAGGCGGACGCTGGAGGGCAGGGTTGTTTGTGCTTCGTGAGGCGCCACGTGGCTTCTGGCCCAGGAAGGACCGGACCCAGCCGAAGCTGCTGCAGTTGCTGGGCACCCCGCCGGGCACACCCGAAGGAAACGGAGGCGTGGCCAGCGCTGCGGCTCTGCTTCCGCCCGTCCTGCTCCCGGTGGCCTCAGTGGCCTGGGCTTCCCGGCGTCCAGTCCTCCACCGCTCCGCCTCCCGCTGGATCGCAGGCCCCACGGTTCTCTACTCGCTCCCACCTTGGCCTATCTGCAGGGCAGCCTTTCCGACCAGAGCTCCGAGCGGCCCCCAGAAGACGCGCTGTGCTCACCTTTGTTGGGGGCAGAACCCCAGGGCCTAACCCAGAGCTTGGGGAAATGGTGGGACGGGGAGCCCCTCACTGCAGTGTAAAGGGCTCCTCACTCACAGGTTCGCCTGGCCCCTGCTGTGCCCCACAGCCTGAGTGTCTCCCCTGAGAGCCAGGCTACTTGCTCTGGGGGGAAATCAAACTTGCCCTGGGATTGATTGGGGCCCTATGCTTTACTTGTTTGTTCTCTTTCTCTCCCTCCCTCTCTCTGTCTCTCTCTGTCTCTCTCCCTCTCTCTCTCTCTCTCTCTCTCTCTCTCTCTCTCTCTCTCTCCCCCTCCCCCTCCCCCCCCCTCCCTCCTTCCCCCCCCCCCCCCCCCCCCCCCACACACACACACACCATCACCACAAAGAGAAGTAGGAAACTCTTGCTTGGGAGTGAAATTTGCTTTGGGCACATAATTTAGTTAACCTGAAGTTGCCAGGTATGGCTGACAACAAAGATTCTTTAACAGCTCTAGGTTGGCCATCGAAATAGCTGGGCGCCTTGCTTAGGAGGAGCCACTTGCACTCCTGCCTGCCTCCTCCCTGCCCCAGTCCCCTCCCCGCCTCACATCCTGCCTCCTGTTCTGACTTTCCATTTCCAGCTCTGGAACAGGCCAGGAAGCCAACAACCAGGGATTAAAACTAGAAGCTACTTAACCCAGCTGGGTCCCTACAGGAAGCTGCTAATTGTAATTACCCTTCAAGGTTGGGGGAGTTTAGGAGGGAAAAGATCTTCTGTGATGTTTCCAAACCACTAAAAGGTCCTCACTATCCAGCAGGGACAACAAATACCACCCTCTTTCTTAGTGAGCTGGTACCAAGCAGCTTTCTGGCCATTGGCACACATACCCCCACCCCAATATAACATATCGAGAATTTAGTTTGAGCCTTTTTTTTCCTCATTGCAAAAGTAGGTGGGATAAAAAATGGGGTGGATTTGGGGGGCCTTTGGTGAATTGCCTCTCAGAGCCTCTCCCCAAATATTACAGAGCCGAGACACCAGTAGCCATTCGTGCTGGTCTCATCTTAGTGCTTCCTGAAGTGGCTGCTCTGGGTGTTTAAAACATGAAAAAACAATACAGTTGTGCCAAACAGTACTGAACAAAACAGTTATTTCTTTCTTGTTCCTTTTTGTTTTGTTTAAAACATTAATAAATCCCTACCCATTCTAAAAGAGGTAGATCCAGCCCAGATCTCCTTTCTGCAGTAGTTTTTTTATTTTTTATTTTTCTTGAATTTTTTGGGGTGACTCTGGTTAATAAAATTATATATGTTTCAGGGATACAATATTGTATCTTGTGTTTTTTTTTTATTTAAACAAATGTGTTTTTCTTTATGAAAACACTAAAAAAGAGATCAATTAGAAGTAAAAAAAATATAACAACTGAAATGAAAAATAAACTAGAAGCAGTCAATAGTAGATTAGAATATACAGAAAAACAGATTAGCAACTTGGAAGACAGAGTAGTGGAAATCACTCAAACAGAACAGCATAAAGATAGATGAATAATAATGAAAATGAGGGAAGTTCAAGAGACTGCTGGGACAACATAAAAAAGCTAACATTCATTATAGGCATTACAGAAAGAGAGAAAGACAGAGACAGAGAGAGAGAGAGAGAGAGAGAGAGAGAGAGAGAGAGAAGAGAGGGGAGAGGGGAGAGAGAACGGACACAAAAGGGGCTGGGGTAGACAGTTTAATTGAAAAAATAATGGTTGAAGACTTTCCCAACCTGGGGAGAAAACCCAGGTCCAGGGTACACATAGAATTCCAAACGAATTCAAACAAGACTCAAACCAAGACATATTGCAATTAAAATGGCAAAAGTTAAAGAGACAATCTTGAAGGGAGCAAGAGAAAAATATCTAGTCAAAAACAGGAAACCCATAAGGCTTTCAGTTGATTTCTCTACAGAAAATTTATAGGCTAAAAGGGAGTGGCAGGTTATATTTAAAGTGCTGAAAGAAAGGAACCTACAACCTAGAATACTCAATTCAGAATTGAAGAGAGATAAAGAGTTCCTCAGATAAGCAAAACTCAAGGAGCTTGTCACCACTAAACTGGCTTTACAAAAACATGCTCAGGGTTTTCAGCAGAAAAGGTATATATAAGGCTAATATGCAAATTGTCCCCTTGGGAGTTCAACCAGGAGACTGGGAGTTCGATTGCTCACTGTGACATGCACTGACCACCAGGGGGTAGTTTGGAATGAAGGAAGACCCAGCCAGCAGCTGGCAGCCAGGGGAGGCCCTGATCAGCCCTGATCACAGGCCAGGCCTAGGACCTACCTGTGCACGAATTTCATGCACTGGGACTCTAGTTAGGTATAATAGAGAATCCACCTGATTATTAAAAGTCTCCTCTGCAGTAGATACCTATTGACAAACATTCCCAGGAGACAAAAGTATCTTCTACATCCTGTGTCCTTTTTAATATGAATACACACACACACACACACACACACACACATATATATATATATATATATATATATATATATATATATACATACACATACACACACACATATACATACACACACACACACACTGGGGCCTTCAACGAGGAGCTTCTGGAGGAGAAGGTATTTTTCGCCTAGAGCGAAGGAGGAAAAATACACCGAGAAAAGGTGTGGAAGATTCACCAGAAAAAAGGTGAGGGAATTTCACCGCACTCAAAGCCCACGGCCAGCTGCAGAGTCTTGAACTGTAAGTAGGGTGGGAACGTCCTTTTTAACCAGGCTAATGGGGAAGAATTAGGTTATAAATATAAAGTAAACTTTATTATAGAATTTTGGTTTGTATGCTTAAAGAATGTGGTTTATTGTGCAAATTAAAATCTTAGTTTGTATTTGGAATTTAAAATCTGTAATAAGAAATAAAACTCCACCGTTGGAACCGCCTCTGGTGCGGAGAAATTCAAAGGTGACAGGAGAGGGCAGAGCCATCTACTCTCCGAAAATGAGATTACTTAATGCTTTGTTTAAAAGTTATAAAAGAACTTGCAAGTTGGGTGTTATCTTGGCCAAATTGGGTGATAGTTATTACTTCAGAAAGCAAAAGAGAAAGAAACAAAATTTTTGAGATCTGTCTTTATCTTTTAAGCATGAAAAAATGTGTGGCCAGATCTGTTGAAACTTCTCCCAAAGTAAGCTTGATGTGGGGGAAGGGAGAGACCAGGCAATCGTATAAGGAAGACCACTCTCTCAGTAAGCTAAGGAATGTGGTAACTTGCATTTGAATGGCTACAAACTTCCTCCAACACCTGTGGCAAAATTTTTTTTTGGAAGTTGTCTTAATTATATAAATAAAAAATAAAGTCTAAAGTTGCCTCATAAAAAATCTAGAGGACAGAATGGAAGCTCTTAATTGATTATGCCTTGTATTTTTCTTAGAAATGTAAAGTGTCATTAATCTAGGACATGCAATATATATTTGATTTGCCAGCTTTAAAAGTTCAAAGTGCAGATTAAATTGGAAGAAATTATATAGTTGTGGTAATTAAAATACCTAAAGTATAACTTGTTTTTGAGAAAATAAGAAGTGTTTTCTCTAATAGGAATTCAAAATAAGTTGCTTATTATTGGTTTAATTAAAAAAGAGGATTAGTTCTGTGATCTCAACCAAAAATGTTTTATGTAAAAACTACTCTAAATTTAATTGATGTCTTAAGATAATAAGAAAAGGTATTACAATATTTAAATCACATATGGATATAGATATTTGTTTGATAGTTTTTTCCATGTTAAAATTTCAAGGCCTTAACAGAGATGATTCTTGGAAAGCTCCAAGGGCCCGGAGAAATACAAGAAATTTATTCTCTTCTTAAATGATTTAAAACAGATATAATATACTTGAAATTGCATGGAAAGCCTTATCAAATAAAAATTAGTAAATATAAATATTTTAGAAGGTTTATAGGCATGTATTGTTACTGGCAAAGGAAAGCAGTTAACTTATTTGGTGCATGGTAAAGAAGACGTATAGACGCCTGACACCTGAAAATGTCTTTCTTGCCATGTTAGCAGTAATCATCTGTACGGTAATATTACCTGGGACAAATGTGGAAGTGTTTAGGACTTACATTCCTGACTGTTCATGGGTAAAAGCCCTTATGTGGGCTGATCCCTTGCCTAATGTAGTCACCAATAATACTAAACACCTTGGTCATCCAGGAGGAAAATGGGTGGGGCAAGGAAGTATAATTACACAGGTGTTGCCACCCAGCTTCCCTTTTTGTATGACACAAAATCAAACCAATGCTCCTTTGTGTATAAAATTAAAGAGAGGTTTCTGGCTTGCACCAAAGTAGAGGAATATCACTACTTGCTCCTGGGAGAGGTGCAGAGAATGTAACTAAGACCTTGTCTACACAAAAAGAAATTGACAGCCAGTTTGAATTTGAATTGCCATTGGCTTAGAACAAAGAATATCCTTGCATGGTATTATTCTACAATGTCATTTATAATTTTTGATATTTTACAACAGCATATTGTACAATTATTCCAAACAAAATTAAAAATCTAATTTTTGAATGTTTGGCAGCAATTTAAAAGGACATGAAAGGATTTAATCCCTTCCACTCTGTGGAAGGCCTCACTGGGAAGGCACTTGAGCATTCTATATTGGCCTTTCTTGCCTTATTTGCGAAGAGGGACCCTCTTGTCACATCCAATTGCCCACAGCTGTTGCCAGAGTTTTCAATTCATGCTGAGGTTAAAGCCTCATGGTGGCCTGTACCATGAATCTGTCTCTCACACAGTGGCGTGAGCTGGGACCTCCCTGGAGAAGAAACCTGGGTTCCCCAAGATATGTGATCAATGCCGGGGCCCCGCCAGCAGGTGAGGGGATCCCAAGGCAGGTACTGGGCATGGAGGCCATAAGGGCATAGGCTACCAAGGAGACAGAACTGAACCTCACATCACCCTGCTTGGCCCCGGAGGATGGCTGGTTAGCCAATGACGGGTAAGATTCCTCAAGGGAGGGACAACCTAAGACAGGCACAGCCGCAGAGGGCCATCAGGAGAGGACTTGGGGGCCAACAGAGGTGGGGCACAGATCCTCACCCCCTCAACGCTGTAGGGGCTTGAACACTCGCCCTTTTGAGGGATGTCTCCTGCCCCATGGCTGCTTCACGCTTCCCATACCCAGCTCAGATTGAGACCCAGCAACAAACAAGAGACTTGCCACGGCTCTTATTGAGACCTAAGCAACAGAGAAGTGGCTGATGGCGACTGTCCTACATCTAAATCCAGCCTAAATCTACGAGTGCTCAGGGCTTTATCAAGGATGCATATAATCTTTTCCATTAATATTTACAGAGTAATTACTAAAATTGTTAAAGTATTAAATTTGACAGTAAAATAGTCAAGTTTTCAGATTAATTTAAATTGGCTAAATGAAATGAGTTAATATTCAAGAAAATTTAATTGTACAACAGGCTGTTCCTAAAGTATTGACCAAATTTTCTATTGGTAGTCCATTTCATGATAAAATTGTTTAACATACAATAAGCCCTAAAGCAGTCATAGTTTTTGTACAAAAAAATTAAAATTTAAAAGTTATCAAAACAGCATTATAAAATTTTTTTCCAAAAGCCTCCTAATAATTAAATAGAAAAAAGGGGGATAGTGGAAAATACCATGTAAGAAAAAATGTCCTGTAAGTAAATTACATCTAGAAAAATTTTTCTTCTTAAGACAGCTATGAAAAACACACATAGTACCAAAATAAGTCAAAGAAAAATTGTTTGGGCAAAGAATTAAAAGTATCCCAAGTAAGATTTATAGAAAAGATTCCTTTATTAATTTTGGTCGAGATATGTTTGTATATTTTCAGAAAACAACTCCAAGACCCTGTGGATTCTTGCAACAGAGAGGAATTGACAGGAATACTCCAGCAATAAGATAAGAGGAAAAACAGACCAGAGATGGAAGATGCTGACGACGCCTTGCCATACTAGCAGTCAGCAGATGTGCGTCGCTGCAGGTTGTCCAGGACCAAACCAGAGGTCGGACCTGCATTGCCACCATTTTTCCACCATCTGGATACCATTGCTGACATGGATTTGAACTGTTGGACATTAAAATTTGGACTTGAAACTTTTAGAAATTGAAATTTGGACTCAAAAAACTGTTTGACATTGAATCTGGGATTCAAAAACTGTTGGCCCAGAAAGAAACATACTGCAGACTGATTTCATTGGACTCTCAGCGTAGCCATTGTTGCTTGTTTCATTTTTTGTTTATTTCTAGTCTACATATGCAGAACTATTTAAGGAAAGAAAACAGGGGAGATGCTGGAAACCAAAAAAGTTTCACTGAAAAAGATGTTGACTTGAAGCCAGGAAGGCTGGTCAACAACCTTAATTGCTCTAACCTTTAGTTGAGATTATGTTAGCTGAAGCAGAATCTACCTTATTTGTCCTGTGTAAGTTTCTGTTATTTCCTGCCCAGGGGCTACATGTAAATTTCTGTTTATGTTAAGATGTTTTCCCCAAAGCCTCAATAGAAGGGGATGGCAGGGCCAGAGCAGTAGTAGTTCTCCCACAAGAGTTGGACTACCGCCTGGTCCCCCAAATCGCCAAATTGAATTCTTCAAGTCTCTTTTCATTTGTGTGCGGCCCTTCTCCAGAAGCTGAACCCTGAATTGGAACTCTTTCTACGCGGGCCGTGAAAGAGAGTCCTATACTGTTAGGTACTGGCCATGAATAATGTAATTTATTTTTGGCCACCTCTCCAGACAAAGTGAACAACCAAAATACCACTTGGAGTTCCAATCAATGGTAAGATTTTCCTTCACCACTATCCTTCAGAGCCACCCCTATGTCAAACTAGTGATATTAAGTGATACCGGAATATTACGCAGATCTATTTGTACACCAGACTTGAGTATTTCCTTCCGCAGTCAACTGACTGTAAGGCACTTCCCAGAGGCCAAAGACCTCCAAGGTCTGTGCTGGTTATATGTTAGCAGAGTCTTTCCAGTATTTTGTTGCCAGCAATGTCCTCCCTGGTCATTAGTGACTGTCTGCTCCCTGGAGCACTCTGAGCGTCTAACCCAGTTATTTGTCTAGTAAGCAGGTAGGCAGTTTGATAGGTCTGGAAGAACACTAGCATCCCCTTTCAAGGCATCTACCCCAGATGTGGAAATCACAAAAGCATGGCAGGCCTGACAAGCTCGACCAAAAGTAACCACACTGGCTGATCAGATCATAAATTCCTAACTGGAGTGTCTCCATTGCACTTTTTATCCAATCCTAGAGACACACACACACACACACCCCGCCCCACACACACATTCTCCTGGCTTCCTTAACTCACCACCAGTGGATTTATTTCATGCACCTTCCTTACATCTCCTTTGATTGTAATGGGCAAAATAAACTGCAATATTGCCATGTGGCAAGGCTTTTTCTCAAATCCATTGAGATTTTGCTTCTAGGTGTGTCCTCAAAATTGGACTCAAACTCCTGTAAAACTTCTACAAGTTTAGACACTGTCATAGACAACCCCATCCTCCGAGCTGGAGCTTATCACAACTCCCACCCCGCCTCCGAACGCCGGGACATTAAGGATGTTTACCCCCAGGAAACGGCATCATAAACACCATCACACAAACTGGCCACCGGGGCCTCCGCACACGGAGAGGAGTCCACTCCAGCCCGGCCCGGCCAGCCACGCCCCCTGAGCCCGGCCCGGCCAGCCGCGCCCCCTGAGCCCGGCCTGCCAGCCACGCCCCCTGAGCTCAGCCTGGCCTGCCACGCCCCCTGAGCCCGGCCTGCCAGCCACGCCCCCTGAGCTCAGCCTGGCCTGCCACGCCCCCTGAGCCCGGCCTGCCAGCCACGCCCCCTGAGCCCGGCCCGGCCAGCCACGCCCCCTGAGCTCAGCCTGCCAGCCACGCCCCCTGAGCCCGGCCCGGCCAGCCACGCCCCCTGAGCCCGGCCGCAGCGCCTCTGCGCAGGCGCACGCCGGCCGCGGCCGCTGGGGGCGGGGCTGTGAGCGCTGCTCGCGGGCTCGCGGGTCCGCGCCCCGGTCCTGTCCGCATGGAGCTGCGGGCCTCCGCGTCCTGGGCTCGCCCTCAGGAAGGCCCCGCGGACGCCGAGGCCGAGCGGCCGGGGGCCGGGGCCCGGCGCCCGGAGCCCGGGCCGGGGGCCGAGGCCGAGCGGCCGGAGCCCGGGGCGGGGGCTGGGCCCGGCGCGCTGCAGGCCGCCCCGTTCCTGCGCTGCCTCTGCCTGGTGGGCTTCCTGGTGAGTGCGGGCCGGGCCGGGCCGGCGGCGGCGGCGCTGAGCCGGGAGGGGCGCTCCGGGCGGTGGGTGACCTCAGGGCGCCGGTGTGAGACCCTGACCTGGCGCTTGGGCCGAGAAAAACTTCAGAGCAAGACTCAAACCTGAGACTCACACGTTTATTCTAACGAGTAGCCCCTGCCCGGGGAGGAAAGGTCGGGAGGCGGTCTGACCTGTGGCCAGATAGGAGAGTCAGGGAGGCCGAACCTGTGACCAGTGACGGGCCGGAGAGGAAGAGGTCACCCTGGGGCAGTCACCCTGTGAGGCCCGCCCCCGGTGACCTTCCCTACCGGCTGATTACTGTTCCCGCTCCGCCTGGCAGCTGCCTGCCCCGCGAGGCTCAGCCCGGCTGCCAACCGAGTCCTCCCGGTGGCGCCTCCGGTGCCCCATCGCCGCCTGCATTCTGGACTTACCCCACCGCTCATGGCCGGAGCCTCCACCCACCCGGCCTGGCCCACCCTGATGGCTAGATCCCAGGTGTTGGTGGCATGGCGGTGCAGGCGTGCCAGTGGAGGGCAGGCTCTCCTGGGCCAGCTTGGCAGAGCCCCCTGGCATGGCTGCTGTGGTCCGGGGGTTGCTGTTGATGACCCCACTTGGCCATTTTCATTAGGGTTCCTGGTACACTGGAATGTTAAAAATGCAAGTCACAGTGAGTCTACACTTCTCCCTGTGGACAAACTTTATATGCTGTGGGGTGCAGGGCTTTGTCATTGTGTGTGTGTGTGTGGGGGGGGTTTAATAGCACAGTTAACAATTTCATGTCTAATGGAAAGCTTAGGAAGCTGAGTATGTGGTGAGTAAATTCATTCGTCCACCCGCTCATTTATTATTCATGGGATTTTGGACTCCGGCTGTGTGTTAGTGTGGAGCTCCCATTGCTGTACATACAACCCGTGCCTGGGAGGACTCACCGCCTTGCTGGGAAGCTTGTGCTGGAGGTTTGTGGACCACTCTCTGTAGGAAGCTGGGCCCACCTTTTCACTCCTGTTTCCAAGTGTAGACCTGGTCCAGTTGTCTGGTTGTGAGCTAATCCAGCTTGGGCAGAGACCCAGGAGGATTTTCCCTTTTGGGCCCCAAACTGTCTTGACCACTAAAGGGTGCCTCGCTTGAGTTAGCACCTGAGTCCCACTTAGCTGGCTGAGGAGCTGGAGGCAGTCTGCCTCCCCTCATCAGTGCAAGCTGTCCACCCCCAAAAGGCTTACTGTGGAATGAGAGCTGTAAGGCAATGAAAGCATATTTCCCTTATTGCTGTAAGCACAGGCTGAGAGCCGGTCAGGGACGGCAGCTTTTCCGAGGGATCCCAGCCTCCCACTAAGATTGCAGCCACCCCATGCTTAAAGCCCTTGAGTTCAGAGCCTGGCACTTCTTCTGACTTTCTTTTTTTCTTTTTTTTCTCTTTTTTTAATTTATTGATTTTTTACAGAGAGGAAGGGAAACATTTTACAGATTGAGAGAAACATTGAGCCGAAACCGGTTTGGCTCAGTGGATAGAGCGTCAGCCCGTGGACTGAAGGGTCCCCAGTTCGATTCCGGTCAAGGGCATGTACCTTGGTTGCAGGCACATCCCCAGTAGGGGGTATTATGCAAGAGACAGCTGATGGATGATTGTCTCTCATCGATGTTTCTAACTCTCTATCCCTCTCTCTTCCTCTCTGTAAAAAATATCAATAAAAAATATTAAAAGAAAGAAAGAAACATTGAATGAGAGAGAAACATTAATCAGTTGCCTCCTACACATCCCTAACTGGGATGTGCCCACAACCAAGGTATGTCCTTGACCGGAATCGAACCTGGGACCCTTCAGTCCAAAGGCCGATGCTCTATCCACTGAGAAAACCGGTTAAGGCCTAGTTTCTTTCTTAGTTGAGCCTGAGGATGCAGGTTCCTCTTCCTTTTACCAATCCAGTCACCGAAAATCCAAAACCATTGAGTGTGAGTGGTTGGCCGCCATCCACCTCTGGTAGAAGAAGGGGGCCCCAAGCTACTGCAGCCCTGCCTCCGATGGCATGCCCATCTGGGTCTGCCAGGTGGACAGCATCTGGACCCTCATCCAGAAAGTCCACACCGGAATTCAGAGAATTTTGGAAGCCAACATGACCTAGAATTAAACCTAGTTTGAGAGTGTTCCTATGATTGGCCTTGGGGTTCAGCTTTGCAGTCAGAGCTCCTCATATGCTGTCCTCATGGCGAGCCTAATCTGACAGACCTGGTGTAAAAGTTTAATTTTAATAACGCAAGAGAATCTTCAGGTCGGGATTTTTTTTAAATGGAAAGTTTTGTTAACAAAATATATGCAACTTGCAGCACCTAATGCCTGTGTTAGGTAACAGCTAAGGAATATTATACATATCTCAGTTACGGTTTTTAATACAGAGATGAGAAGACCCCTAAGACTTTGGGGAAATGATTTCCAATTGGGAGAGGAAATGAATAAGTTAAAGAATTCGTTGGTGCAAATGCTCCGTTTCCGGCTTTCCGTGTGTAGGTTTCAGTTGGTGTGGAGAGGAAGCCTAAGACGAGGAGGTCCTTCGTGGTCAGCACGCTAAGATGCTGCCAGGACCTACGATTTCAGTCTCTTCTCCCCTCCCGGTGCCTGGGAGAGCTGTATCTCATTCCATCACCTTTAGTCAGGTGAGAATTCATTTTCAAAAGACCCCAAAACGCTGTAACCTGTAACGTACCCCTCAGTCTGCATTGACATGTAGATGTTCTGCGGAAGGGTTACATGGCCCTCTCACCTGGTTCCCAGGTCCCAACTTGGAAGTCCCTTTTCGGTTAAACTAGGAGACAGTTTGAGGGCAGAGCTTCCTCGGAGGAAGGAGCTACAGCCAGCCTCTTTGGGGCAAGATAATCCTCACAAATACTAAAACAATACTCATCACCTATATTGCTTATGAGTCTATGTTTTTATATCTGTCTTCCATAGATGTTGGCTACCTACTGAAATATTTCTCCCAGCCCTTATTTAGAATAACCATTCCAATATTAGATACAAACAGAACTGGGAATTTTTTGGGATAATATACTTGCTGGATAGTTGAGTTTCCTTGAATTAAAGATCCAGAAAATGTATTTGAGTCTTTTAAATGATATAAAATATCAGTAGGCTGATGGAACAAAGCTGACAGTAAAGCCCTTCCCCAAAAGTTGGCTTGGACTCAAAAGAAATGCTAAGTACATTAGTGTTTCCTTCCTGGCAGCTTTGTTTTCCATGATTTCAGTTACCTGTGGTCAACATTGGTCCAAAAACTTACGTGGGGAAATCCAGACGTAAGTTGCGCGCCATTTAAAATCTCCCGCTGCCCCCTTAGTCCAGGCCCGGCTGCGAAGTGTCCCATCGCCCTGTGGTCCACGCTGGACACCACCTTTCCGTCAATCACTTGGTAGCCTTCTCGGGTACCAGGATGGACACAGTGCTGTGTTGAGTCACTGTCACGGCAGCCAGTGCTGTCACAACGCCTCATCCCGCCTCACTCCAGCTCCTCACACAGGCACTGTGTCCCAGGCAGCACAGGAAGCGGGTGGGCACAGCCTTCAGAAGTTTGTAGGTTTATTACAATGTGTTGTTATCATTGTTCTGCTCTACAGTTACTGTTTTCCCCTCTTACCAGGCCTGACCTAGAAATTAAACTTGGTCGTAGGAATGCATGGATAGGAGAACACATTTGGTGTGGGCACTCTGCTTTCATGCCCTCTTGGGGCGCATCCCCCAACGATAAGGGAGCACTGCTGCAATCTTAAACCAAAACAGTGCGCCATAGTTCTGGGAGTGTAGGTTTATGAGCTGTTTAAGGTCACTGGATATTATATTTACATGACTATCTATAGCTGTAACCGTGGGGAAAACACTGAAAAGGGTATGGGAAGTTTATGTTTCTATAATTAGATGGATGTACTGCTACCAAGAGAGACGGAGCGAGAGATGAATTATTGGCTGAAAAAACACACAACTTTGTCAAGTATTTCTGTTTAGAGTTACCAGAAAAGATACTCAGGTTGACTATGAAAGACACTGTATGTGCTATGTGTGTATTTTTTTCTCCTAAATCAGTTGTAGCAAGTAACCCAGTGAAGTAGGAATGAGAGTGACATTTAAAGGGAAAATTAACCATCTGTTAACAAAGAAGGATCAATACTCATTCTCAGAACTGAAGAGAAAGTGTTTGAGCTTGTGTTGTGTGTCAGCTTTCTCAGCCGCTGCCTCTCATGTGCATCGTGTTTCTGCCAGGCCGGTGACAGCAGCATGCTTGGTAGCCTTACATAACTTCCCAAGGCCTCAGGCTGCTTAGTAAGTGGAGGACTGGAGCTGAGAACTGTCTGTCCGACCTCAGAGCGCACGCTCCCTCCATGATGTAGCTGCAGAGTGTGGCCTTCACTTCACTGCGACGTCCTTTTCAGCGTTACCTTGTTAGGCTGTAAGCCACGGTCAGTACCTTCCCCAGCTGCAGGAGGAAACGTGTGTCATTAGGTACAAGCTGCTTTGTCCAGAAACACATATCACCCTACCCCCTTTCTCGCTTTATTGCTCACAAAATTGTCTTGTTTTTTTATTGGAGGGACACTGGCAGCACATCCTTCTGGAATATTAAAGATCATTTACAGAGGCGCTGAAGTTACCATGGATTCTAGGTCAGAGTGGCCCGCACATTTGCAGGCCGCCTCTGCTACAGCACATTGTATTTGGATCCCGGATAACTTGGATCTGATGAGTATAGTATAGGGAATGCACTTAGGATTTCTTATTTACTCAGTTTTAGATAGCGGTCCTAATTGGAAAATCAGTGTATAGTTAGGATCGCCACTTTAAAAACACCAGACTTGTTGGAGTTAATCGGTGCTCTGTCGTTCAGGACTTGTTTGGTGTCAGCATGGTGGTGCCTCTATTGGGCCTTCACGTCAAGTCTCTTGGAGCGAGTCCCACTGTGGCTGGGATAGCAGGTGAGTGAGTGCACTGCACATTTTCAGAGCGGGCGCCTTACATCCCTGCACTGAGTGTCTGAAAGCAAATCAGCCTCCGAGCTCAATGCTACCCTAAAGTAAATGAAAAATGCTATGAAATGGATTCTCAGAATACATCATTCATCTTTTCCTAGACCTCCGATGTTCTGAGAAGCTTTGAGACGTGCAGAAAGGGGAGGGGGGACAAGCCTTCCAGGTCAGTTGCGAACTCCCCGCACCAGCACCAGCACCAGCACGTTAGAGTGCTGTGAGGAGTTCCCACCCGCACGCCAAGCTCCATCCGGCGTCACTGATGTTCAGAGAGGCAGGACCTAGCAGGCTTTGGACTGGCTGATGAATGACAAATTAAGGCTTCAGTCCCAGATCATTCACAAGCTCCATAAGCAGGTGTTTGGGGACAGTTTGGGACGCATGTTCAGTAAGCCCTGCCCCTGCCAGCGTTGTATTCCCTCAGAAAGGGATCTGGAATTATACTGGACCAGCCGGCAGCACAAGGGTTTTATTTACGAGACATGTTATGGATATAATGGAGGGCAAAGCACTGTGTGAACTACATTCTTTATAAAATGAAAGCACCGCGAGCAAAGGTGTGTGCATGTGCTGAGACGTGGTGGATGCAGGCTGGGCTCTGCTCCCCTCGGCTCTGCTTTGTCTCCGAAAACCTCACACAGAGGAAGGACTGTCTCAAGGTCCTAAGGGAACTTGCCTGTAGTCTCTCTTCTGTTTACTTTCATTTTATTTTGAAGACCTTTTATTACTAATTAGATTACTTATACTCTTCCAATTGAAAAACATTGTGGGGGTATTTCTTTTTTGAAATGACCTTTTTTTCCTGATGTTTTTCTGTTAATTTGTGTGCATTGTTACCCATTGTCAGTTCTGCGAGGGTTGGCTGATCTTGGCTGATCTTGCTCTTGGTGTTGATGTTTTGCAGGCTCCTCCTATGGCATCTTGCAGCTCTTGTCTAGCACCCCCGTGGTAAGTTACCTTCCATCTGGCAACGCGCTGGCCAGCAGGCTCACACCCTCTGAGTGTACCCAGCCCAGCGGCTGCAGAATCGGGGCTGGGCTTCCAAAGTGGGTGTGCCAATGATTGGGAGATCCCAGCGTTAGATCAGAAGGTCCCTTCAGTCACTCCCTTTCTCGTTGGGCCTCCGTGTATCAGAGCGATGGCTTCTGGAAGGAGCACCTTGAGTCAGAACAGAGCCCACTGTGCCATGTCCTTCCCATGATTCCCTGCTGACCTTTGACTGGGAAAGAGAATGGTTATTACCAAGTTTAGCATTTGTTTCAGTTAATTGACAATAATCAAATCCAGCCATGCCTCTAGGGTTCTGTTTGAAGTTGTGCATCTTGAACTGCGTGGTTTATTAATTCTAAAACTGAAGTGTGCAGACAGGAGCCCTTTGGAGGTCATGTCTGCCCACAGCGTGGGTGGAAGTAGCCAGAGCTGCACTGTCACTCCCATGGACCACTCGCTGCTTGAAATTTGGAATTCTGAGCCGAGCCTCCCCTTCTCCTTCCTGACCTGCACGCTGCCGCTGGGTCCTAGCCGGTGTCCAGGGGTCCGGGAGGGCCAGGCAGAACTGCCAGGCTAGCCCACGGCTGGCCAGCGGGGCCTTGGTTAGTGAGCACGCAGGTGGGCTGCTTCCCCAGAGCGGCTTACACGTAAATGTGTTTAAGAGAGAAGAAATTTGGTCAGGTTGTGTAATGAACTCTTTGGTAAATAAATAGCTACTCCCTGGTTTATCTTATTTTGAAGTCTTTCATAGATTAAATTTGTGTAACAATAATAATTTTATTCTCATTTGACCTTTACAATGACCCAGCAAAGTATTTATCTCCCTTTATTACACAGGAGGAAATTAAGGCTCACAAACACAAATGTGAGATAATTTGACAAAGTGACTCATCTTGTACCCACGCTGTAAGCCTGGGTTCTTTTCTCCCTAACAGTCTTGGCCTTAAAGATCCAAAAAAGTAAAGGATACCCAGCCTCAGGTTGCACAGGAGGAGGTGCGCTCACTGTCAGGGCAGCAGGTCCCTGAGAAAGCATTTGCCTATGCTTGGCAAAGGGCTTCTCTTTCTGCTTGGAAACTCACTGCCCACACACTTGCTAGTGTGTGAGCCTCCAGCCAGCGCCTCCTGCTGGGCTCTGATGATCTGAGTCAGTGGTCGGCAAACTCAGTCTACAGAGCCAAATATCAACAGTACCATTGAAATTTCTTTTGAGAGCCAAATTTTTTAACTTAAACTATATAGGTAGGCACATTGTTATTAACTTAATTAGGGTGCTCCTAAGCTGGCCTTTACTAAAAACTCAAGGGGCCAAAGAGCCGCATGTGGCTCACGAGCCGCAGTTTGCCAACCACTGGTCTGAGTGAAGGAGCGCTCCTCTGAGCACTGGCAAGTGGGAGCAGTGGTGACAGATTTTATCACAGCCGAGGCCCAGCCTCTTTTCCAAGTAAGCCTTTGCTTTACCATATCTGCACTTATAATACAAGGCACATACCATAAACCTTCTAGCTGTGATGTCTATAGAGAAACTCCTTAGAAACCATTCACGTGGAATACCAAATAAACATTTTCTTGTCAACCAGTGCTTTCATAAAATTTTAATAAGTTCTTAGAAATATTTTAATTTAAAAAGAAAAGAATGTGTCAGATTTGACTAATTTTAATATATCTATTTTAATAAAAATGACGCGTCTCTCAAGTACTAACTCCCTATCCGACCTGTGCTGAGCGCTTGGTTTCATTCAGCCCTGACGCTCCGCCAGCCTCCTGAGCTCCTGCGGCCTTCAGGACTGATCTCACATAGAGCGCCGGGCCAGTGCGGGGGGAGACTCCCCACGGCAGATACTGTTATTTTTCCTAATTTGCAGAGAGGAGCAGGGCCCGTGGCATGTGGAATGGTAAGAGCTCAGGTCGCACCCAGACACCAAGCGCAGGGCCGCGGACACAGGAGGGAAGTGGAGAATCCTCAGTCCACTGCAGTGAGCTAGGGAAGAAGTTGACAGTATTTTAGAATTTTTATAAACACATCTGTCCTCTGTAAAAAGATCTTTTGCATGTTTTTTTTTTAGAAAAATATAAACATAAATGTAAAAGTGGGGGAAGGGCAGGACAGAGGTGGCTGCTGCTGGCAAGGCAGAGAGGCAGGCTCCCTGTTGGTGTTGGTGTTGGTGTTGGTGTCGGTGTCGGTGTGGGTGTGGCGGCTCCTTGGCGAGGGCGGGGTCATTGGCAGCCTGAGGGGTAAAGAAGCAGGAGGCTGTGGACCACCTTCCAGCCAGTGCCAGGCCACGTGGCCGGAGCCCTGCCCTTGACCTTTCTCCGGCAGTGCTCTGTGGCTCTGAGCGTTCAGTGATTTTATGCTGACATTTCTTACAAACAAAGCCTGGCCCACAACCTTGGTATCTAAACTGGCTCAGTATGGCAGTGCTGTAGCCGGGCCGGGCTCCTCAGTCAGGCGTGTGTCAGTCTGCACGGCACTTGCAGCGTAGAAAGATGAGAGCGTGCCGCTGGCTGCCCAGGCTGGCAGGAGCCTGAGGAGCTGCTGGAGACCGTGCATCGTCTTACCCAGCTTCCTTACTAGCAGCAGCTCGCCTCCTGCATGGTGAATAGGGCCTCAGCAGGAGAGGAAAGGAGGAAGAGGAGACTGCCAGTACCCTGCCCACTCTAGAGAACTTTCTCAGAGGCCTCGCCAGTGCTCCGGCTGCATCTCTGAAGGCAGGGCCTCTAGCTGTAGGAGGTGTGTTTTGGGTTAGCCATTGCTGTGGAGATGGTTCGATCACAGGGAAGTGACGGATGAGCTGGGAAGGCGGCGCTTTGCTCCTGAGGCATCTGACCCTCCCCGCACCCCCCCCCAAACTCCATATCAAGCTTCAAAGCCTCAAACAATCATGACGGAAAAGGCCACTGGAGTGGAAAAAATATTTGCAAACTATATATCTGCTAAGGATTAATATTCAGATATATAAAGACCTTACACAACTGAATAGCAGAAAAAGAAATAATCCAATTAAGAAGTTGGCAAAGGATCTCGGTAAATGGTAAATGTGTTCAACATCACTAATCATTAGGGGAATACAAATCAAAACTGCAGTGAGGCATCTCTCACACCTGTTGGGATGGCTGTGACTTCAGACAAGATAAATGACGACGAAGATGTGGAGAAAAGAAACCCTCATGCACTGCTGCTGGGAATGCAGACTGGTGCAGCCACTGTGGAGACCCTATGGAGGTTGCTCAAGAAATTAAAAAAGAACACGTATGTGATCCAGCAATTCTACGTGCATATCCAAAGGAAGTGAGGTCCCTGCACCCCCTGTTCACTGTAGCTATATTGATAGCAGCCCAGACATGGACACAGCTTTGGTCCATCAAGAGATGAATGGATAAAGCAGATGTCTGTATGTGCGCAGTGGATGCTGTTGGTCATGCAAAGGGGAATCCTGCCATCTGTCACCACATGGCTGGGCCTAAGGGCACTCTGCTAACTCAGGAAGACGAGGTAGACAGCTACTGTATGATCTCCTGTGCTGAATCTAAAAAATCTGAATGAGATTTCTAACAGGTCAGATTTGTGATAACCAAAGGCAAGGGGAGCAAATTGAGTGAAGGTGTTCAAAAGGTACACACTTCCCATATAAGTAAGTACTAGGAGGTACTGTGCAGCGTGATGCCTCTGCTTAACATTGCTGACTGACATATTTGAAAGTGGTTACGAGTAAATTCTAAAAGTTGTCATCACAAGGAAAGAACATTTTTTCATTTTATTTACGTCTATTTAAGACAATGGGTGTTAATTACATTTACTGTGGGAATCATTTTGCAGTACATGTAAGTCCTATGGGCTGACAAGATTAATAGGCCCTGGCCTGTGTTGCCCGCATACCAGAGGGTTGCAGGTTCGATTCCTCGTCAAGGATACATGCCTGGGTTTCAGGTTCACTCCCCACCCTTAGTCAGGGCATGTGTGGGAAGCAACCAGGCGTGTCTCTTACATTGACATTTCTCTCTCAGGTTCCCCCACCCCCTTAGCAATCCCTTCCTTCCACTCTCAGAAAAGCAATGGGAAAAATATCCTCAGGTGAGGATTAACAGACCAAAAAAGTTAATGATAAAATCCAAGGTTGTCATGATCTTAGAATATAGATGCTCTTAAGAAAGGAAAAAAAAGGGGGGGGAGATACAAATTTTTAATGGCATGGAATAATGTTCAAGATGTATTGTTAAGTGGAAAAGCAAGTTACAAAATACAGTATGCTATATTTTGTTAGAAATACCATTTGTAGATTTGGGGATTGTGAAGCAATTTTATATTAATTTGTTTTTTAGTATTTCCTAAATTTCTAAATTGAATATTGCTTCTGATGAATTGAGGTGTGTAAAGTGATAATGAAGATAAAGATGGCCTTGGCTGGTGTGTCTGGGCAGTTAGAGCACCCCCACTGAAGGGTCATGGGTTCAAATCCTGATGACGGGCATGTACCTGGGCTGCAGGTTCAAACCCCGCTCTGGAGTGTGCAGGATGCAACCAATCAGCAGGTTGCAGGTTTGGTCCCCATTTAGGGCTCAAACGGGAGGCAGATGATTGATGTCTCTCTCTCTCTCTCCCCTCACCCTCCCTCTCTAAAAATCAGTGAAGCATATCCTTGGCTGAGGATTTAGAGAGAGAGAGAGAGAGAGAGAGAGAGCGAGCGAGCGAGCGCGCACGATCTATGTTGTATCCTCCACTCAACTTGTTAAAGACCAAAGAAAATACTCTGACAAATGGCATAATGGAATTAAGCACCTGAGGATCTTAGCCCCAGTGCCCTGCTCTCTCCCCTGGTTTGCATTTGGGGGCATTTCTAAGGTGGTGATTTTACAGTGAATCAAAGGACTGTTTGTGTTCTTGCTTCCTCAGGGCTGCTGGAGTGATGTGATTGGACGACGGTTCTCCTTGCTGGTGTGCATTCTCTGCAGTGCCCTGGGTTACCTCATTCTTGGAGTATCCACCAACATGTTCCTGTTTGTCCTCGCCAGAGTCTCTGTGGGTGAGTTCTTACCCCTGTGTGTGTTTTCCTTCAAAATAAGTCACTTATATGTAAATGCATAGAGAAAACCTGTCCCTGCTTGCCAATGCCCCTTTGATTAGAGCTTGCATAGAGGGCATAATGGCGATAAAATTAGAGCTGTAACACCACCATCAGTCAGGCTCTGCTGACTTGTCCAGGGCATCAGACCTCGTGCGTGCTAGAGCAGGAACCAGTGCCGTGTCTGTCAGAGGGCACAGCTCTCTCTGCAGGGAGCCTTGTTCCTTCCCATTGATCTCTCTCAATGAGGATGACTTGTTCAGTGTCTTTGACCAGCACTGTGACTACTATTCTGTCCCTCAGCGAGCTTATAGTTTTGAAGTTGGGCTTCCTGACTTCAAATTGATCCTGACCACTCTAGCTTTCCTGCTGCCTTCTGTGAAGCTGGCCGTGGCTTTGTGGAGGGATGTTAGGGTTATGATGTAGTGGCTCAGTGGTTAGTTTTGTTCCAGACTGCTCCTGAATGTTTCTTCCATTTTGAAATATATATATTTTATTGATTTTGTACAGAGAGGAAGAAAGAGGGATAGTTAGAAACATCGATGAGAGAGAGTCATCGATCAGCTGCCTCTTGCACACCCCCTACTGGGGATATGCCTGCAACCAAGGTACATGCCCTTGACTGGAATCGAACCCCGGGACCTTTCAGTCCCCAAGCCGACGCTCTATCCATTGAGCCAAACCGGTTTCGGCATGTTTCTTCCATTTTGAAATAGCTTTTGTTTTGTCCATCATTAAAATAGTTTTCCATTCTTTGAAACACTACCTGTGAGTGCTGAGTGTTGAGATGCTGGGAAGGTAGTTACTCTTAATTCCCTCCTTGCCTTTTTGGTGACTAGAGCCCTGAGTTTCTCACCTTCCTCATGAGAGCACTGCCAGGTTCTGCTACTCTGGTGGACAAGTCACCTCTATTCACCCTCCAAAACCCACGCTGTTTGCTGCTGTTGTTTATTTAAGAAAATGCTTTATGAATGCCTTTGTTCTAAACGTGATCAGTCATCCTAACAAGCACCACTGTTGCACACACACAAAACCCAGCTGACAGCGGTTTCCATGCACCTGGTGTCCCAGTCATTTTATGTTCTTGGTTTGGGTGGCAGTGTGTCCTTGTGCAGTATAATACACTCCACCTTCACTGGTAAGGCTGTTCAGAATTCAGAAGGAACAGATGAGAGATAAATAGTGTAACTGGAACTAAGACTTGACCACCTGCTGCCACGAAAGCCAAATTTGTGAGATGTGCTGCTGAAAAAGGAAAGTGGTTTATGTATTCAACTGCTAGACACCTGATAAGATGGGGAACTCTTGTCACAAAACCCATTGCAACATCTCAGTGCAGCCAGAGGTTTTTATGAGGAAGGAGAGGGAAAGGGAACAAAGAAATCACGGGGAAGGGGTTGAAAAGCTCTGTGTGCAGGCCAGCACAGTCCATCCTGATAAAGACCTTGAAACTGGTCACGTGATGGACTGGTGGGCATCATCCTGGTCTTCGTCATCCTGAGTCTGTGTCATCTGGTTCTATGGCTGAAGGTCAGCAAATCTCCCAGAACTGGGATGACTTGAGATCGGAGTCTGCATCCTCTGAGGTTAGTTACTAGGATTCTTACACAAACACGCTGTTCATCTACAAGCTACATCTTAGTCAGAGTCCGTATTCACAGTCACAGGAATGGTGGGGCGGGTGACAATTCCCCCTGTACAATACCACCTATAAACTTGTTACAAAATGTGTAGAGATTCATGTGGAGGATGATGATGATAATGTCAGCCAACCTGGTTGAGCAGTGATATGCAGCTGCTTCCTTCAGGGAGATCCCTGGAGACCACCGTGTTCCATCACGGTCAGGAGCAATCAGGCAGACCTGCCTGCAACATTAGTTAGTAGGACCTACTTTCTATAATAACAAAAGCCCAAGTGACCATTGAACCAAATGGACCCCTGAACAGGCTGTGTGGGGCGCCCAGGCCAGCAAGGGGGTTAGTGAGGGACAACCAAACCACTGAGCAGCAGGCTGCATGGGGCGACCTGGGGAGGGGGGGGCAGTTGGTGTGACCAGGCTGGCAGGGGGGCAATAAGGGGCGACCAGGCCAGCAGGGGGGTAGGCAGTTAGGTGTGACCAGACCGGCAGGGGGAGCAGTAAGGGGCAATCAGGCTGGTGGTTGGGCAGTTAGGGGCAACTGGCCAGTGGCAGTGGTGGGACGGGGCAATTGGGAGCAACTGGACTGGCAGGGGGGCATTTGGGTGACCAAGCTAACAGGGGGCCCAGTTAGGGGCAATTAGGCAGGCAGGCAGGTGAACAGTTAGAAGCCAGTGGTCCTGGATTGTGAGGGGGATATCTGACTGCCGGTTTAGGCCCAACCCTGGGCCTGAACCGGCAGTCAGAGGGAAAGTGGAACAAAGAAATCACTGGGAAGGGGTTGCACCTGCAAGGGAGCCATGCCTCAGCAGGAGGAGCCGCTGGGTCGCAGATCGGAAAGGTTGCAGGCTGGGCTGAGGGGACCCCCCCTCCCGAATTTCCTGCACCGGGCCTCTAGTGTCTTGATAAAATTAGTGGGCAAACTGTGTCATCATAATTCTGTTTATGCGTGTGTTTGTTCAATGTGTGGGTGCATACAAGTCAAATACATCAGTAAAGTATCACAGCTTTCAATTTGTATAATCAACAGTTTCATAAGCCTCTTGCTAGTAGAAAATCAGTGGTGGCATCATATCTTTAGGTTTTTACTCACTCCCTCTCATTCTTCCAGAGATCTGGAGGCTCTGTGAGGACAGGTTATTTGTCTTTTTCCTGCCTTTCTGTTCCTTGCATCACCCTCAGGGTCAGGGTTCGTGCTGGACATACAGTAGGCATGCAGGCAATGTTTGTTCTTTGAGTTTGTGAATGATGAAGGATAACTTTCTGTATAGAAGCCACCGTGAATTGTACTTGGACCACAGAGATGGCTGGAGACACTGGGATGTCCTGATGGGAGGTGGGTGGGAAGCTGAGGATTCAGGAGCCTGGTTGCCAGAGACAAGGTGGCCAGCCAGGATGGTGGGCTAACCAGAGTCCATCGTGGCAGCTGGAACATGTGGTCTTAGAGGTTCAAAGAAGATGGAAGGGACCCCCATCAGGGATAAAGGTGAAGCCCCTTCTTTTAATGTGGAAAATGTTACAGAATCTGTTACTTGTCTCCTTGCAGGTATTTTTAAACATACCCTCTCCATTTCAAGGGCCATGCTTTCTGACCTGGTTCCAGAGAAGGAGCGACCATTAGCCATTGGACAGTTAAACACAGCGTCTAGTGTGGGCTTCATCTTGGGCCCCGTGGTCGGTGGCTATCTTAGTGAACTGGACGGTGGATTTTGTCTAACGTGCTTCATCTGTTTCTCTGTCTTCATTCTCAATGCTGGTAAGTTGCTGTTTAATAATGAAAAGACTGGTTTACTCATTCATACTGACTGATCTACCTGCTTTTATCTCCTTATAATAATTATTTTTCTTAGAGTTGGTCAGTTCATTATTCAGAAATGAAAAACAGACCCCCCTCCCCCCCCTCCACGGCTCTTCCTATTGAGGCACGGCTCCCCCCAGGTGCTTCCCCACTCGGCTTCCTGGTCGCCCTCACACAAACAGGCTTACTCCACAGGAGGGCATTGCCACGTGCTCTTTCCTCCACCTGCAGAGTTCTCCGCACGTTTCTTCTCTGGCTCTTTCTTGTCATCATCACATTTAAACGGTTTGCTTCCTCAGAGAAGCTTTCTTTGATGATGTCTAAAATAACTGTATTTGTTTATAGCTCTTCTGAAATCATATGACTAATGTATTTTCTCCCCTTCCCCCAATACACACAATTAGAAAGTCAACTCCACAGGAGCTTGTATTTGCTCAGAGCCCAGAGAGGACAGGCACAGGTAGCCGATGTTCAGTGATAGTTGATGAATAAAAGAAGGCATGCTGGATAGGAGCCCCATGGGTGCTCAGCCAGCTGCTTAAAGCCGAGAGGAGGAACCTCTTTGCCCAGAGACTGGAGCAGGGCAACCCTTAGATAAACAGCTTTCTTAACAAAGGGTTCATGCTGTTCAGTTGTCCTAAATCTAATTATGTTCTACTTTCCCTGATATCCATTTTGAAGACTTCAGGCTGAGTGATGAATTCCATGCTGGGTTGGTATGTCAGCCTCGAGAAGCAAAGTTCAGGGGCTTACTAATGTCAGTCCTTGCTCTGGTCTTTCACATCCCTCACAATGACTTGTTTTCTTGGGGTAAGAACTCGGGCTCCAGTCTGAGGGATTGGGCACAGTCATGAGAACGAGTCAAGGTTGTCGCAGAAGCAGTTTACCCCCTTCCCTACATGGTAACCACTCAGTAGATGCCAGTTGCTGTCATCATTATCCTTTTATTATTATTATTTGTACTTCTCTTCCAGTCCATTAGCAACACTTCTTCATTTCTTATCAGGATTCTGAGAGCTGTCCCAGGGAACTAACTGACATACATAAGAGCGAGGGAGAAGTCTGAAGTCCAGGCCTGCTGTCTCACGTGATCAGCTTTCTGGCCTAAACTAGTGCCTGGCTAGTTCTGGCCACATACTGTGGCTGGAGGATGGTGTAGCTTGGGGCCAGCGGGAAACAGCCCTGACCGGCGACCCAGCTGGTGGGACTTGTGCCAAAGGACTGCAGCCATAGGGATGAGTTAGGAAACTGTCCTAGGTGACAGCTCCAGTTCAGTTTTCAGAAAACTCAGGCAGGGTTGGCACGAAGTCATTGGCGGGATCATACAGCGGAGGCCAGACCAGCCTGTCCCCTGGGGGCAGAGGGCATCAGCCGAGCAGGGACAGAGCTGCTGGGTAAGGGCGGCGTGGGCGATGGGAATGGTGCCCCCAGAGGTTGCGACATGTGACTGGCAAAAGCACAGATCCAAGCAGGTGCTTCCCAATGGCCATTGTTGCTGGAACCCCGGCCACTCCCTGCAGGGCTGGGAGTGGGGGTTCCACCCCTCCACCCCCCAAGCATAGCGCTGACCATGCAGTGGAATTGCCTTTTGCGTGTCCGCCCCCCTCAGGTTTAAGTTCCTGGGGGACAGGGATTGTACAGGCCTGGCCTTGTGTGTGAATGTCGTAGCCAGCACGGATTCAGCATGTAGAAGCATGACTATTCAGTGTGGGGTGGGTGGTCAGATGGAGGATAGTCAGAGAATCAGCAAAGTAGTGAGGGAGGAACTTAAATATAAAGCCTGAGAACTTAGATATGAAATGGTGGCAAATAGGAAACCTTCATCGGCTTTTGATCTGGGGAAAATAGTATTACTTAGGCATAGATTTTCCCTTAAGGTGAATTGCAGATTCTGATATTAATAGGAGTAGAAGTGGCTGTGGGAATGGTCAAAAGCTGGATTCGAGAATACAGATGAGTAAATCCGCTAACAAAAGCTGCAGCAGAGACCTAAGCCAGTCATTGCTGTCCCCGTGGGAGGCGAGTGTGACCATGATGTCAGCCCCCTGTAACACCTGTTTCCACAGGTCTCGTGTGGCTGTGTCCATGGAGTGAAGCCAGCATCCGGAGCACAAGGAGCGGCCTGAGGCTGGGGGAAAGCCGTGCCCCTTCAGGGAAGACGGGCCGTGCTGGACCAGAAGCCAGCCCAGGGCCCGGCCTGGAGGGTGAGGAGGGCGCAGGGGCCCGAGGGCCCTGGGCGGAGGGCGCGGCCGCGCTGCAGCGCCTGCGGAGCCTGGTGACCTCGGAGATGGGGGACGTGCTCCTGGTGCGCCTGCTGATGGCGCTGGCCGTCATGCTGTACCACAGCAACTTCGTCCTGGCCCTGGAGGAGCGCTTCGGGGTGCGGCCCAAGGTGACGGGCCACCTCATCAGCAGCTGCAGCGCCCTGGGGGCCCTGGCCGGCCTGGCCCTGGGGCCGCTCCTGCGGCTGTACCGGCACGACTGCCCGCGGCTGCTGCTGCACTCCAGCGCGCTCACCTGCCTGCTGCTGCTGCTCTTCGCCACCGCTCCCACTGCGGGCGCCGCCGCGGTCCCCGCCCTGCTGCTGGCCTTCTCCACGGCCGTGGGCAGGACGTGCATCACGGACCTCCAGCTGGCCGCCGGCGGGGCCCGGGCCGGGGGCGCCCTCATAGGCCTGGGGCAGTCCGTGACGGCCGTGGGCCGGGTGGTGGCCCCCCTCCTCTCCGGAGTCGCCCAGGAGTTCAGTCCTTGTGGCCCCCCCAGCCTGGGGGCCGCGTTGGCGCTGGCGGCTGTTTCCGTAATGCTGCTGCACAGACCTCGCTATGGCGGGGACGGCAGCGGCCGGTTAAAAAGTGAATAGAAGCATTTGGACAGCCGGCGAACCCGACCCGAGGTGGGATGGGGACAGAGGCCAGGCCGGAGGGTGCATTGGGAAGGAGGGGTGAGTGGTGAAAAGATATTTCCAGGCGGGCTCCTCCAGGCCAGCCTCCGGCTTCCGCCGCCCAGGCCTGTGGATGATCAGAGTCCATCGGGAGAGGAGAGCGGGGAGGGGACAGGAAGCTGTGCGGGAAGGCAGGGGCCCGGCTCCCTCCTCAATAAAAGCAGACTGCGGGCAGTTGGGACCGTGCCTGTCCACTGAGCGAAGAGGGCTTTTCCACTGCCGGCCCCTGGACATGGAAGGAGTTGCTGAAAGCCGGTCTGCCACGTCCTCAAGTCAGAACAGGGTCGTGGGTGCTGGTTCCACCCGGGACCCGCTTCAGAGTCAGAGGCCAGCCTCGGCCCTGGAGACTGACCGCGGCCCCGGTGAGGCCAGACCTCGTCGCATTCCGGAAGTACCGAGTGCAGTTCCTCGTGGAGGCAGAGAAAGGAGCTCTGAGACGGGCTGGTTTTGATGAGAGGAAAACACTTTACTAGGGGCCATCTCTCCTCTTATTGGACTGGACCTCCCCAGCGGGGCACTGAGCCCTGACACTGGTCAGAATCAGTGGCAGGCGTCACGCCTTGTCGGGGGACTTAGTTCTTCATTGCCTGGTGTGGAAGGTCATTTCCTTTATTTTGCTGTCACACCTGTGAACGGAAGAGCTGTTTTTCTCCATGGACACGGGTTGGTGAGCCTCTTCCAGGGCCTAGACGGCTGCCATTCCAAGATCAGTGCCCAAGGGGCGAGGGCCCGGGGCTCGCATGGCTCGGAGGAAGGCACTGTGGGCACCGACTGCTTGGGCCACAGCGGTCACTAATGACATCATGTAGGTGCTCCCTCTCTGTCCTCCACAAACGACCCACGTCCATCTTCTCGACCAGCCCACTGGGCTAAAGTCCTGCTTTCGCCCCACCACAGAGAATTGGGGGTAAGGTTCTAGCACTTATTTTTATGGCTTTGTTACTTATTATAGCAAAGCGGTGAAGTATTTCTGTAGGTTTAGAACTCGGATGTGGGGAAACTCCGATTTTTATGACAGAGGCAGTTGGAGTGTAAGTGAGGATTGTCCTCTCCAGTCCAGCCACAGGGAAAGGGGCTTTTCCTCAGCGCCGACATGTGACCCCTCTGCAGGGCTGTGCCTGGGAGCGCCCTGGGCGTGCAGAGGCCGCCCCTGGAGTGACCAGCTCGCCAGGCGGCTGCACCGGAAGGCAGCGGCCAGCCAAGCTGTGCAAGGAAAACTCTGATAGGTTTCTCAGAAGCTTAGGCATAGCCTGGCTGTTACTTTAAAACCACAGCATTTTATTCTGAAGTTAAATACAAGCCGCTAAAGTAATGAGGTTTTATACTCACTCAGACACATGGAAACCTGAAAACCAGAGACGGCCTCGGAGAGACGTGCTGCACTGGGGACTCAGTTCCCGTCCACACGATGACTAGATGAACATGGCTGTACAGCCCTCTGTAGTGGTTCCATGTGCTGCTGCCATGCGGGCGTGTTCTGGGTCCGGCAGTGCCAGGACCCCCAGAACGTGCCTCCTCCGACCTGCGGGCCGCCTGCTCTAAAAACCACTGTGGGGCTGGGCAGGGTTTGGATCCTAGATGGAAAGCGAACTCAGGGAAATAAATCTGCTCAGGTAACGTCCGTGTTGATGTGGTGCTTAAATCCTTCGGAGTGACATCCGTAACCTTTTACATGGAATCGTGCTTCAGAGCTTGGGCCTCCTGCAGGGTTTATGAGGGAAGCGGCCCCTGCAGAGGAAGGGAAGGCAGGCCCTCTGCCCAGAGGCCTAAGCGAGATCCAGAGGGACACGAAGCCCGGCTGCCAGGGTGTCCAGCTCCCATCTTGGCTCAGGCCTCCTGGACCAGTGAAGTTGGGCAGGTTAGGCCCGGGGCAAACAGAGGGCTGGAGGCAGTGGTCTCTGCCCGCTGCATGTTAGTCATGTGCACCCAGGCCTGCCCTGACCGTGTCTGTAAGGCACACAGGATGGAGAATGGTGGAGGGCCTGAAGGGCCGCCCCCCCCCCCCCAGCCGGGGTGAGGGGGCCACTGAGGACCTGCTGGCTGCTCTGGGCGGGATGCTGAAGAGATGCTCTGGCTGCAGCGGGAGGTGAGGAGCCCGAGAGGGAGCAGCCCGTGTGGAGCAGGACCCAGAGGCGGGCGCGGAGGTGGGGGGTGAGGGGTCCTGGCCCTGGGAGAGGGAGGGGCACAGTCCACAAGGCTGGTGACTCCCAGGGCGGCCTGGAGGGAAGGGGTTCTGGAAGGGGTGTGAGTGGCACCCAGGCACCTGGCCTGGGCACAGCCCGACGAGGGTAGGAGTGCCCTGGGGAGCGCATCCTGCCGCCCTTGGGTACCGCACAGGGCGTGGCCGCTGGGCTTGGGCTCAGAACTAAGGATTTTCCCCTGAGAACCGTCCCCCATAAGCCGAGGCCTTGGGAGGTGTCTGCAGGAGGGGCAAGGGGCACTGGGGGCACACGGGTGCTCCCACTGTTGTGGGCGACCCGCGAATGACGACCACCAGTCAGCCACATTGGAATTTAGGAAGCCTTCATTATGAACTCGAGTCCGGGCTCCCGTCTCAACTGACACAGCAGCGAGCAACGAGAGCCCCGACCCACTCTAAGCATGCTGCTTTTATCCCGTCTTAGGATGCCTGGCAGATTATGATTGGCTAAAGTTTTAACAAGGAAACGTCAGTTATAAGCTATAGGAAATTCCACTAGTACAGTAACATTTGAAGTTTATACAACACCTGGGATGGGGGTTTATTTTCAGGTTAAGCAGACTCTGTTTGACCTGGTTTGGTCTGTTTGTTCTGCCTTGTGGCTACTGGAAACAGGACCTGCCTGCCTGGGGGTTGAGCCTTGCAACACAACTATTTTATGGCTAACAGTTATGCTTGGCTAAAGCGTATCATGCTACATTCTTTGTTGTGGGTCTGGTTGCTCGTTCCTTCCCTCGCCTGGAGCCCTGTGTCGACAGGGCCTTGCTGGCCATCTGGAGCCCTGCCTCGACCGAACCTTGCCGGCCACAACATTCCCCACTGGCCTTAGCGGGGAATCAAATTGTTGATTCTGGCTGCTCCCATTCCTCCTCCCGGATCTGCTGATACTGGGTATGTAGGACCATGAGCTTTACTGCCTGAAATCTGTCCTGTTTGAAGGTTGTCAGGCTGCAGAGGAGGCAGGGTCCAATGTGTTACATGAGTAAGAGTAGGGTGAGGGGCCCTGCTATAACTGTTACTAAGGTCATTAACCAGGGGTGGGCAGGAAAAGAACTTTTCATACCAATTTCCTTCTTGTCTTCTTCGTTCTTCTCTTTCTGCTCTCCCATTCCCTTGCACATGTAGCTTTACTTAGCCCCGGACTTTCTCACTGGCTAGCAAAAATGTTCTTACAGTTACCAAAACCTCTAGTACCACAGTTCCCATTAGTACTGTCCTCACTGTAGTCCAATTCCCCTCTTGCAGGCATCAAGTCTCCTCCTGGCTTGTGTGGAGCCCAGACTAGGGATCTCACAGGTGAGGCTGCTGGTTGCTAGGATCCAGGTTGATTTCTGTGCAGGAGCTGGGAGTGCTGTAGCCCAGGTTTGGGTGCCGTCTATTTCAACAGCCGTGGGCGTGCTCAGGATAACAGTGTAGCGTCCCTTTCAGGTTGGGGTGAGTCCTTGGACAGTAAACTTCTTTACCCACACAGAGTCTTTAGGCTTGAAGGGGGTGTACAGGGTCCACGGGGGGGGGGGGGGGGGGGGGCACTGGCAGTGCATCTGGAACAAGCTTATGCATGGCTTCTGGGTAAATTGCAGAGCCTGTAAGGACTTGAGCAAGGGAATGGTTATGAATTCTAGCTTTCAGTTTCTCCCTGACCCTGGGAAGGATGGAGAGGAGGTCTACCATACATGATCTCAAAAAAAAGGGGGGGGACACCCATCTCAGTAGGGGTACACCTGACCCATAAGGGGGCGAAGGGCAGAGGGTTGGTCCAATTTTCACCGGTTTTCTAGGACAAATTCAATTAAACTTTTTAGAGTCCTGCTCATGCCTGTCCTAAGGCTTGAGCTATACTTTGAGATACCTTGCTACAAAGATGGGGCTGTTATCTGATTCTATGACTACTGGCAGCCCGAATCTCGGTATAATCTCTTGACTACTACAGAGGCAGGGAGGTTGGTTTCAGAAATCTGTTCTCCTAGCAATCCTCATGTCTTTTAGAGCTTAGATCACCTCTTGTGGTGAACAAAGATAGAATTTTTTATGATTACCGTATTTTCCTGCGTATAAAACGACTTTTGAAATGAAAAAAAGTCAACCGAAAATTGGGGGTGATTCATTAAAAATTTAATTTAAAAAAGAACTGGGGTTACCTCGGAAGTGGGTGGTAGTCTTATACAGGAAATATAGGCCTAAACCTATGTTTTAACTGTAAAATTAGGGGGTTGTCTTATACGCCGGAAAATACGGTAACCACTAGGAATTTTAGTTGAGAAGCAGTGCCACCAACTGTCAGTTTAGCTCATTTACAAGTGACCAATATTGTGTTCATATCTCCAGGTGTGGGAAAATGGGGTATTGCTTGAGAAAGGAGAGAAAGAACTGGTGTATACTATAGTATCATTAATTATAAGAGAGAGTTCTATCCTTGGAGTGCTTTCTGACAAATGGGTGTACTGATAGCATGTGGATTGTAGGAAGTAGTCAAGACTCATGAGAGAGGTGAAATTCCCACACTTACTACTGACCACATGTAATTGGGAAGATAAAATCTCTAGTCTGCTATGTCTCCAGTGTGAGAGGGAAATTTCATAATGTACCCTGAGAAAGTTTACAAACTGATAGAGAGAAGGGAGGGGAGGAACTAATGAAACTGATATGAATGCTCCAAAACCACACTGAACATGAATTGTTCTAGGTACTATTTTCCTGGATAACGTTTTTTTTCTTCTTGTTGAATTTATTCCATGTTTTTTAGCCTTCTGTGGAGACAAAAACGCCTTATTAGAAGTAGAATGGTACAGTAAAAAGAGCATGCACATACTAGTCTGGATGCATGAAATACTATCTCAACTTTACCAACTTAATCTAGCTTAATCTTGCTTGTTTGATTTGCATATGGAAACAATAGTAACAAGTATGTCATAGTGGTTTTAAGGATAAATGAGGTAACACATCTGAAGCATTTCCTATAGCTATAGAGATTTAGTAAGCGCATATGAAATGCTAGATTCATACTACCAGCATGCATGTGGGATGACACATGGTGAATATGGTAGAGTTACTGAGAGCGTGTGGGAAACACTGGCACCCAGTGGAAATGCTCTGCACCCAGTGAGGCCTTTCCATTATGTTACTGCTCAAAAGTGGAGGAGATTGGAGACTCCCAGCCCCACATCTGACGACAATGCTCTGGAGAATGTTAAATGGCAGGAAAAATATTCGGACAAAAGTCTTTTTTAATGAGACATCTCATTAACTCTGCCCACTCCAAGTCAAGCTGCCTGTGTTAGAGCAAGGAAGCTAGTGGACTAGGTGGTTGGATCTTTCCGTCTGGGGGGGCTCTGGGTTTTCAATGAAGGCAGCATTCCACGTGCCCAGGCAGTTTTGGTGCCTGCGCATGCTCCTGTGTCTCCAGTGATACAAGATTTTCCTCCTGAAAAGAGAGTGGGGAGTAACAGCAGGCTCAGTATGTCTTCTGATTTGCATCACATGCAGAAACCCATGGTCAGGGCATAGAGGAATGAAAAACACTGCTTTTGAAGAGATAGTTTTAACAAAGGTTATTGTCAGCTACTTGACTTCTTAATGATAAATAATTCATATATGCCATTGGCCCTCACAGA